TATGGATTTTTTTGGAGCTCAGATCACATGAGTAAAGGGTTACTGCTATACAGGCATCATCTATTTAATTCAGATCTGCAGCAAAAATAGTTCACCTAATGGTGCCTTAGTTCTAAAAGCTGATAAACCTTTGACCTGGATAAAGAAGTCTCTTCCTTTGAGGAGTTGTTTCTGCTGAAATTTGTTACTCGCCAGTCTTTGCCCTCTGCTAAGAGAAAGAGGAGGACTAAAATGCTTGCTCTAGAAAGAATGATTCTTAAAATTGTTGTAATTGCAACATCTTAATAAATGGTGCTGTTTCAGCCTGGATGAGGCTTTGTTATTCCTATTGTAAGCTAAAACTCTTGAATAGTCCCTGAATTTCTAATGTAATAGAACATAAAGACTATCCCGATATTGTGAATTTAGAATTTTTTGAGAAATTGAGATACTGCTAGCCTTGCCAATTTGCTAAAGGTAAAACAAATATCCAAATTCTCTCCTATATTTTATAATCTGCATATAGTAAAGCTGCTTGATTTTTTTGCATTTACTGTTTCTGAAAGTGTGGAGCTTAACTTTTTAAATTCTTCAGAAACTGATTTTAGAAAGTTTAAGACAAAGTTATCTCCAGTCCTGTTTACATTGTTCTGTTAGCAAAGAAGCAAATCTGATTACTGCATTACAGAACGTTGTTATGCATGGTCTTAGAACACAATCATGTCAATAATTTAATAATTTAAGCAACAGCTTAAAGCAAAAAGCAGAAAGTTAATTCCAGTCTCATTAGCATGACTCTTAACCATCCTTGTAACATCCTTATTTAAAAAAAACCAAAAGCAAGATCAGTAGTAGACTTTAAAAAGTTGTTATTCTTGCAGCTATGTTTTCAATTATATGACTGAAACATCTGGGTTTGTTTTGACAGCCCGACACTTCTTGCATCAAATTATCACGGGTATGCTGTATCTTCATTCTCATGGAATACTGCACCGGGACCTCACTCTTTCTAACATCTTACTCACCAATAATATGAATGTCAAGATTGCTGATTTTGGACTAGCAACTCAGCTGAAAATGCCTCATGAAAAACATTACACCATGTGTGGAACTCCAAATTACATTTCTCCAGAGATAGCCACACGCAGTCCGCATGGACTTGAATCTGATGTGTGGTCTTTGGGCTGCATGTTTTACACTCTTCTTATTGGAAAGCCACCTTTTGACACTGACACAGTCAAGAACACGCTGAACAAAGTAGTATTAGCAGATTATGAAATGCCAGCCTTTTTATCACGAGAGGCACAAGACCTTATACACAGGTTGCTTCGCAAAAATCCAGCAGATCGTTTGAGTCTTTCCTCAGTGCTGGATCATCCTTTTATGTCCAGGTGTAGTTCTGCACGGAGTAAAGATTCGGGAACTTCAGAAGATTCCATGGACAGTGGAAATGCTACCATCTCTACAACCTTCACAGGCTCTTCCAACATCAGTACCAGTGGTTGCTTGAAGGAAAAGAAGAAGCTGCTAGTTGGACAGCCACTCCCAAATAAAATTACTTTTTTTCCTAAAACCAAGAATTCCAGTAGTACTTCATCTGTAGATGGAAGCGGTTCTTTTCATCAGTGGGGAATTCAGGAAAAAGAAATGGGCATAACTGGCAGGGGAAGAACCATGCAACTTGCTGAAGAGAGACCACATTCACGCTACCTCCGAAGAGCCCACTCTTCAGATCGCTCTGGCACATCCCATAGTCAGACTCAAGGCATATCGAATATTGTTGAGAGATGTCACTCTATGGAACTGCTTTCTAAGCCTAGAGTAGGAACAAGGGAAAATACAGAATGCTTTTCACCTGTGAACAGCTATACTGATATAGGAGAAATATTTAAGGAGAAGACTTCGAGTGGTACTGGTTCTTTTGAAGGGCAAAAATCTCCACCTGTAAAAGACCAACCGCAGTAAGAATCAGTTTTTATTAGTATGAAATTTAAAGCTGCCTTATGTTAAATGTGTGCTTTTTCTTGTAACTAAGCTGTAGTAAGTGCCGGAAGTCTCTACACTTGTAGCTTGAATGCCAAATAGGAGGGAACGATAGCTGATGGGGTTGCTATGTAGAGGTTTACCTCCCTACTGTCCCTGTCTTAAAGTTTAAAGATGCAGCGCATCAGCTAACTAGATTGTAGCGTTTATTTATCCTGCTAATATTCTATTAGCAACTTATTTCTATGTGCTGCAACTTGAGTATTTCTCTCCCCACAGTAATTGTAGTGAGGGAGCCTTGCTCTTCTTTGAGGAAGAGATGTAAATTAGGGTAGAAATCATTCAGAGTGTGACAGCTAATGCTTTTGCTTGCTGCTTTGTTTTTTTTTTTCCCTGTTCATCTTTAACTAAGCATTATGCTTAGACAAGATAAAGGGTGGGGGAAAGCCCCAGCCAATTAAGTACAAGATTAAGTGATGGATTATAAAACTGGTATACCAGAAAGGAAAATAACACTTGAAAATAACTATCTGAAACTTAATTCTTTCTCCTTAGTTGCAGTTTCTGGATGAAAATACTTACTTTCTTCCTTCTATACATGGAAGAACTTTCCCAGCTTATAAAAAATAACTCAGGTGTCAGATCTACAAGTGATACAGGGATGTTCTCTCCAATGTTGGAGGCCTTGTCTTTGCCTTCTGTGTAACGAGCCCTTTTTTGTAGTAAACTTCATCTGTCTATACTGAGAAACTTGCTTTGTTTTTTCCATCAGCAGAATCTCAAAGAGCACTTTTCTATTTTAATATAAGGACTGTCACATATCTTAGTTCTTGCATTTTTCACTGCATTAAGAAGTGGCAACTTTGTGTAATGGCTTATTTTTCTTTTTTCAAATCATTTCAGGGAAAATCCAAATGAGCACTTTGCCCTTCAGAAAAAGTAAATGAAGTACGAGGTTTTTCTTAACTATGCACAAATGTTTGGCAATGTGTCTGTGTTCAGCAAGTTCAGTGGGCATTCTTTCTAGTTTAACAAATGTTTGATGAATCAAAAAAAAATTATACCTAGGTTAACTTGCTTTTATTCTTCATGATTTCATAAAGACATGCTATATGTAAATGTAATGGACTACTAATAAGTGTGGGCATTAACTGAATGGTTCCTAATCCTTTTTAAAATGGTTGATTGAAGAGCCCTTTACATCTATTGTTAGCCTGCAAGGCAATCTTAAATGCAAGATTTTAAAACCTAAATTAGATTAGTCTATGAAGGTTGTGATAACTGAGTCCTTGCCAATGGTAAAGGAGCAATCATCACAAAAGGAAAGTACAGGCTACAGAGATAGAAAACCTCACAGGTACTTAGTGTGATTTTTTACAACAGATCAGTGATTCTGCAGTACCTGGTTTTTTGTGTGGCTTTTATTCTTCAATATGGGGATTATAGCTTGAGTTCACCTGTGATTACATATATGTCATTGTCTAAAAAGCTGGTAAAATCTTTAATTTTGGGGATTTACTATGTTTTATATAAACAGAATTTATTTTAGGTGATAAGATTGCCTACATATTTCAGCTGCGTATTTATGCTGAATGAGATCCACTGGGGTCATGGATGTCATTCCTGTGTCTTCTCTGTGAATTAAGAACTAGATGTTAGAACAGCCACTGCTGGCAGCATTGTCAGTGGCTTCTTTTATTCGTGTATGTTGGTTCCAAGAGTCTACCAGTGAGTGCTAACAGGTTTAAATTTGTGCTGAAACTTACTAAGAGCTTTTTGTTCCATTTGGAAACAGTATTTTGTTTTTTTAATGCTTTAGCCAATTAAATTACCCATGAAAAAAGCAGCATGTTCTATGCTGTTTCAAGCTGGAAAATGCCACCTGAATTTCTTAAATCTTCTAAAAGGAGTTGTAGTTTCTGCAGCTGTAACACTATAACTTTTGTTGTGCAAGTGTCTCTGATGTAATCTTGATTACCTGTGTAACTTTTATTTTGCAGCTCAAATTATCTTTGCCCAATGAAGCCCCAGGTTGGTTTGTTAGAGCAGAAGTCCCAGGCTGAAACAATGCAGCAGTGGCTTGGAAGCATGCAAACAAATGGTGTGTTCCTAATCAGTTTTCTCTTTTTGTACTCAAGTTGGAGTAGTGACTTGTAACTGTTTCTATGTTTTTTTTCTATATTTTATTTCATTAAACTTGAGACAGAAGGGATATCTCTATGGCCGAGTACCTGGGATACTGGAGTATAATGCTGGCATCCTAAATAACAGCAGCTGGGGTATTAACATAGGCTACTGCACACAGATTTTTTTTCTGAATGAAAAGCATGGTAAATGCTAAACTGTCTTGTCACTGACAAAAGTGGACACAGATATTGTAAGAGGCAAAATTATTTTCAGCATCGATAACATGTAGAATCAATCTTAAGCAAGAAATATCCCATTGAAAACATTGTTTTATTCTTTTTTGGACTAAGCTGTAATGTTTTAGTTTCCTGAGGTAGAAATTAATTTCAGGAGGTTTTGTTGTTAATGTTGCTCTTGTGCTGTTGGGTTGGTATAACTAACTGTATGTTACTGCCTTCATAGGATTGAAGAAACTGAATAATTAGCTTCCTAAAATGAGGTCATTCTCTGTCAGTATTTTGGAGGAAAAAAAAAATAAAATAAGGAAAACAGAATTCTGGAACCTGCCATAATTATTCAGTTGTGACCTGACACATGTGCAGTTATAAATACGTGACAAAAGATTGGCTGGTGACTCAAAAGCTTTGTTAGTTTAGTTGTGCAGACACACCTTATGAGAAAATGGGACCTTAGTGAATGAGAAAGATGATAAGGCTGCAGAAGGAGGGGTGGAGGAAGGGATAAAAGACACAGAATGCAAGGAGTTGTTCTTTGTCATGCTTCATATTACATAATTTACAAATAATGTAATTTAATCTTAAAACTGAATCACAAATCCCTTCTGGCCTTTTTTGTTTTGGTATTACTGGACTCCTTCCCTTCCTATTTACAGGGAACTGAAATCATATGACATATGGTCTGAATAATCCTATTTAATTTCTGGTCCCTTCTCAACTGTCCTGCAACATGGCAGGAGGAGTGAATTACTTTTCTGGATGAGGTGAAAGTTGATTAAGTGCTTAAATATCAGACCTAGGGAATCAGTCATAGGAAGTTTAAATATAAAAATAGGGGGTTTTTTGTCTTTTCATAAGTGACTGGAAATAAAACAAGGGTTTTAGAGTATACAGTTAACATCTTGAGTGCTAAAACCTCTGGTTGATGTTAAAACACTAGTTAGCTAAACTGAAATTTAAGTGAAACTAGGGCCTAGTGGCTTTCTGAATGTTAAGTAAGCTGTCTTTCAACAGATTAACCTAATTCTTGTAAACTAATTCTTGTTTAGTTATCTATTTGAATGATCTTTGAATCTACAATGTACCTTTATGATGCTTCCAGTTCAGCTGAGACCACCCGCAGACCTAACTGGCAACGGCAATGCATATGGAGGGTTTCGCTATCATCTGGATGCACAGCAAGATGCATCAAGAAATGCATGGAACACCTTAAAAGATGTCAGGAATCATGATGCATCCATTGACTGTCCACATTCTTTAAACCAGAGAATCCCAAAGAAATATGTCCCTGGAGTTGTTTGCAAATCTGAGAAAAATCAACCATCTTCTACATGTGGCCTTTGGTCAACTGCAGAACAAAAACAAGCATGGGGCAAGGAACCACCAGCGCAACAGAAATCTACACTGCGAAGTACAGTCTCGCCTCTCAGTGCTCACAGGCTAAAACCCATCAGGCAAAAAACAAAAAATGCAGTGGTATGTATCAGTTCTTAAAACAGAAACAGTTTAAGTATTAAATATAGTGTGAATACATCTTAAAAATCACTTGGTAAACCAGAAGTATTTGCTTTTATAGAACTTTATGATAATTTAATTTAAAGTTAAATTAGTAAGATGCATCTTTGGTTTTTTAATACGGAATATTGTAACCTGGTGGTCACTTCCTGCAAAAAGTGACATTGCATTGTTTGTAGTTTACAAGCAAAGAAATTGTAGGCAGACATAACAAATATTAAATGCATATACTTCCTACAGTTCTAAAACTCTGTACTGCTTAGCTGTACAAGATGCATTTAAACTTTCAGCATTAAGATTTTAACTGTGTCAAACACATAAAACACTTTTACTAGTTAGACTAAAAAACTGGATTAGAAATTAAAATAGTCTTGCTCTCAAATAGAACTTGAGTCTTTTTCCTATAGTGCTGCTTTTTCCCTGTCTTATGTGGGAAAACAAAACAAATTCCCTTAATCCTTACTGATAACAACTTTTCTGGTTGGTTTGTTCCTGGTATCATCCTCTTACCTTTTGTTCTATTTCTTGCAGTTGTGCTTATCCTGTCCTCTTTCTCCACACCCCCTAATTTGTTTTTTAATGAAGAATATAATAGAGCTGACCTGTCTTAATTTGATTTGTCACTTAAGAAGCCCCACCCTCACTGACCAGGCTTATAACCTTCAGTCACGATGAAGTGTTCTGTTTTAATAGCAAAAGTTACTGTAAGAAGCATTTATAAGTTTGCAGTCCGTTAGAGGAAGAAAACCAGTTTTTCGAAGTGTTTGTAGAAAAAAGTTATCTTATTTTGCCAGAGAGTAAATGACATTTTGTCTAACTTATATTAAATATATTTTAGGTGAGCATTCTAGATTCTGGAGAAGTGTGTATGGAGTTTCTAAAAGAACACCATTCACAAGAACTTGTGAAAGAAGTTCTCAGAATATCTTGTGATGGAAATGTGGTATGTTTTCAATTTATTTGTTGTTTAAAGGGCTTAGAGTATTCTGTTCTTTCAGGGTGGTTGTTTTTTTTTTTAAATTGTCATTTAAGTGATTGTTTGAAAAAGCAGTGTTTACATATGCACAACTGTAGTCTCCTTCCTCCTGCCCCCTAGTACAGCCATTCAAATATAGGTACCAAGCAGTTATTTCAGAGCAAAATTGGACTTGACTTTTGGAATATGTGAGGTGATATTGAAAACTACTGCTGTTTAATTACTTAAAGGAATAGAGCATTCATGGCAAATTATAGTAATTAATTAAACTGTGACTTATTTCCATACCTGTTAAATGTAGGAAGTGCTGTGGTAAATTGCAGCTGTAAACATGTTTGGGTTTTTTCCCCCCTTCTTGTAGATTGCAGTTTATCATCCAAATGAAGGAAGAGGTTTCCTTCTTGATGACAGACCTCCTGCTCCTCCTGAAGACATCTGTGTATATAATTTTGACAACTTGCCAGGTAACCTGAAATTTATTTTTAAAATTATGATAAATAATGTGATTAAGTTAATCTTATTTGAGACTTCAGCTTTTACCCAGTACTTTTCAGGTAACTCTGTGGATAAAACTCCTTTGAGAATAAGATTCAAACTACAGTTTAACTGGAAGTTATAAATTGAAACTTTATGTGAAGTACAAACACACAGGCTTTAATTAATTTTGTATGAAAATTATAAGGAATCATCCTTTATAATGTGTGTACTAAAATTCAAGCTTTCATATTTTTCTTATTCATATTGGAAGCTTTTAAAATGTGAATTTAAGAAATATTATAAAGCAACTTTACTTTGTGCTTCCTAATACTCATAACTTGAGGAGGGCGAAGGGGAAAAATACTTGAAAGCATTGACAGAGTATTTAAGGTAGACGGCTGAAGAACAAATATAAGCTATTCTTGAGAGAGAAGCAGACTGATTTACTAATTAGAGATCTAAGACCTAAAGCCAGGAAGCCAACTAGATTGTGATATCTAGTTAAATGATATAGGCAGCACTTTCCTTTACTAAGTTGTTGTGGTTCTGAACCATGTTAATTGAAGCTATTCAACTGAAGCTATTGAAGATGTATACTTCTGTAAAAGTGAAAACAAGTCAGTTTCTTTGAACATACTTCTTTAAGGTACTTAAATATGACAACCTTCAGCTATCGGATACATATTTAAAATCACTTCTCTTCAGGCTGGTGCACAGTGTTTAATCTGATGACTTCTTGATTAAAGTTCTTAATTTTTTTTTTTTATTTTAGAGAAGTACTGGAAAAAATACCAGTATGCAGCCAAGTTTGTGCAGTTAGTAAGAACAAAAACCCCCAAAGTTACGTTCTACACAAGATACGCCAAGTGCATGTTGATGGAAAATTCACCCACTGCAGATGTTGAAATTTGTTTTTATGATGGTATGTATTCATTTTTGCAGTTATGCAAGTAGTTATATCATGTTCTTAAAGCTGCACTGAAGTATTGCCAAACATTAAACCAATTTAGGTAGAAGAAAATACTAGATTTTTTTGCTACTCTGCCTTTATTCTAGCACTTGCAGATCAGTATATTATTCATTAGTTTCTTACTGGTATCTTCTTTAGAACTGTTAGAAAAGTATTATTAAACTGTGCCTTGTTTTCGTTCATCAGCTCTTCTTTGTATCTATGTTTGATAGTTAATCTACTTAGTGAAAGCTGTGTCCTTACTCCAAGCTTTCCATTGTTAACTGAGGTAATTGTATTACCAACACCACTCACTGGAGAAAGCCACTGCCTGTCTTCTCCTGTCTATGCTTCATGAACTAGACTGCACTGATGATTGTTTTCTCAGGTTAAGGTTTAAAAAGCTAGTTATTAAAATTCATAATAAATGCATTATTCGACCCATTTAACTAATGATCTTTGGCCACAGAGGGCATTCGGTTACTTTCACAATCTCAGTTTAAGTGGCTTTTTACTTTTAGTCCTAGAGCTTATGCAGGAGTGGTTCTGTTCTTGCAGTAGTTACATTTGTGAGACACACTTTAGAGTAGAATGTAATGGCAGAAATCTGTATTTCATAGATGCTGTTACTTTATACAAATCAGACTGGAAATTTTTACATTTTTACAGGAGCAAAGATACACAAGACAGCTGGTATAACTCGTGTAATTGAAAAATCGGGGAAATCCTTCACTTTGAAAGGAGATAGTGAAGCAGGTTTGAAGAAGGAAATACAAGTATATATGGATCATGCAAATGAGGTAAACTGCTTTATATAGACCTTTTCCGGTGTAGAGCAACCTTCTGAAAAATTCAGTTTATCTTTTATAAATGTGATTCCGGTGTTGCTTTTAATATTTTTCATTACACTAATAAAGAGGGATGGTAAAGTGGTTTTTGGAAGAGCAAACACCAATGCTGAGGTTACAGTAACAGTGCGTCACAATGAAGACAGAGGAAATTCTTACTAGTGTGTAAAGCAGGTTTGCCTCTCTGGTGAAGGGATTAAACAGAACAGATAAAGCTGCTTTACACAAAAAAACCCAATCAATCAAACAAAATTAAACAAAAAAACCTGCCACCACACAAAAAACCCCAACCCCCCAAAAAAACCAAACCCAAAAAAGCTGAGAGGTGTTTTAACTGGCCTGCCTGCTGTGCTTTCCTCCTCTTGTTTAATGTCACCCAGTCAGCACTCACAAGAGTAATTTTCCATCTATGAACTTAGGAAACAGTAAAAAAATAGTACAGATTTCCTCTTCAGTCTTCCTTCTGTTCTGTAATTTTCTGGAATAGCATTCGGGGGTCTTCTAGTCCTGCTAAAAAAGGGAAGAGATGTGAATAAGAGCATAATTCCAGATGTGGTCCCTCCAGATGAGGGAGTCTTGCTGTAATATAGCTTTTTGAATTGCCTGCATGGTACGTGAGTGCAGCTATTACTGATATTCAGTACCATTGAAAAAAGCACTTCCTTGTTTAGGCTCACCTGCCACACTAAATGTATATGAAATAGTTATACTGTTCTCCATTAAAGACTTTCACAAGCTGCTTCTCATTCCAGGGACATCGTATATGCCTTGCATTGGAATCTGCTGTTTTGGAAGAAGAAAAAAGGAGTGAACACATCCCATTTTTTCCAATAATCGTAGGAAGGTAATATTTTCACTTGAAAATACTTCTGCGCTTAAATATTCCTACTAAGCAGCCTTATGCAGCTAATGTTTGCAGAAGTCAGGGTTGCTTAACAGAGGCTCATGGTCATTAGCAAGATAAATATTAACTTGATAGCATGTGTGAGCACCTTATTTTGGATGTGCAAAGCCTCCTTTGATACTAGAACAAATACACTTACGGGTTTTGACTAAACCAGATTAACAATAAGCATGTGTAAAAACAAGTCTGCAGAAGACTGGTGTCATCAAGTGCTTTGTACAGTCCATGGTAAACTGAAGAAAAAGCAATGCTTCCTCACTTGTTTCTTCACTCTCTTTTGAAAAGCCCTTTTTCACAATTTGTCTCATTATTTTTCCAGAAAACCTGGCAATACTGAATCACCACAGGCTCTAGCACCTCCACCTATGGACAGTACAAACTGTTCAAAAGAAGTAATGGCACTGGAAAGAAATACAGCTGCCAGTTCTAATCCAGTTCAGACTCCAAACTGTACTCCTTCTGTAAGTACACAAGAACATACCATGGAGTTTCTAGTGTGTATTTTTTTAACAAGTGCAAGTGTAAATATACGTATGTATAGCCAAGAAGGCTTTGTATGCAATTTCATCTAGTTCATTTAAAAGACCCTCAAAGCTTCAGCTGCTGAATCACAGCTTTGATACAACTTCCCCAGCTAACTGAATTGTACTGAGGTCTTTGCACACAGAGTTTGTATCATCTTAACTTGGCTGAGTTGACATGGGTCTGCATTTCTGCCTTTCAGTGGTAGCACATGTCCTCAGTGCAGAATCAGCCAGCTTTCACTTGACTGAAATGAACCTGGCAACAACAGTTCCTTAGGTCTTCAGTACTAGTATTGATTTTTACAGTGGCTTAAGGTTACCTGTCACCAGAGTTTGAACTCAAGGGTTCAGCATTCAAACTCATTCTTCTGTTTGCAATATATCAAACACTTAGGTCTTTATTAAACTTTTGCTGTTTGCTTCCTCTTCTGAAGTAGGTATTTTTGAGTAAAATAACACAATAACTGGTTGCTTTTCCATGTTGCTCTTGGCTCTTTTTGTCACTTTCTTTATATATAAACTAGATCTGTATATCCTGAGGTACAGCTTATTTATTCTTTCAGGTTCCTGTAGTTATCAGGATACTTAATTTCTTTCCTGACCAAGCTCTCCTCTTTCAGAGGCATCCCCTGACTTGCATCTTTTCACTGAAACCTGAATCTTAAATACTGCTAAGCACACCAACACATCTCTGTCATTTCTGTGACCATGGGAGGAGGTAGCTGAGTAGTGGAACTTGCAGAGGGGAGATGTGTTGCTCCTAGACAGTAGTGGTAGCATTGTCCTAAAGGCCTTCAATGTTTAATCCTCTTTTACTCTTAATTCATAGCTTTTGTGTCTAAAGCTGTAACAAACTCTGTATGTGCTGTAGAACTCTTCTGTTAATGTTTAATATTCTAGTTTCCAATTAATAGCAATGCCCATGCTTTTGTAAAATATAGGCCAAGTTGTCATCTGAATGACATCTGATGCCTTCTTTGCCTCAGTCTTTAGTAGG